AAGATTGAGCTAAATCTTGCTGCTACTCAATTGATTACGTGTTTCAGTCCGCCTAATCATTAGTTGGGTAACAATATTCTTCTAAACATGCCTATCAGAATAAAATCAGAATATAAATCATGTTAAATAATATATATTATAAAAAATTTTTATCATAATATCTAAATTTTCTTACCAATTTTCAAAACTAAATTATGTTCATAAATCTCAATTAACAATCTAAAATACTCAATTCACAAAAATGTTAAATAAGTTATTGCAATCTTTAGATAATAATCTTTTAACAAATTTTTCTTAAATCATACAAAATCAGATAAAAAACTTAAAACTTCTACCTTACATATTTTCAGAAACTATTATGGTAGAAATTTCTCACAATCAATATCATGCATTATCTATTATAAATAGCATATGAGTAAATATCATAATATTAATAATAGTAACAAGTAGCTATATTATTTTATCGCAAGTTTTATAGAAACTGGAAAATCCTATATGATTAATATAATTACAAATCTTCTCAAATATAAGCATAATCTTACCTTCTAATAGCATATATAGGGGTAGCAGCATAAAATATAAGAAGAACTATAATCTATTCTAAACTATATCTTACATTTACATAAGATAATTTTTGCACTTGTGCTCATGTAGATATAGAATTAAGAAACTAATTTAAAGAAATCGATACTATTATTATTGATAAATATCTATGGTTTCTATCAAATTATTGGATTTTATTTCACATTTATTTATAAGTTTTCATAATAATGCTCTAGCTTTTAATGGTATAAATACCATAGTGATTGGTAATCTCACTTAACTGCTATCAATTACTGGTCAATTAGTATTTTATGTGATTGTTTGAAAATTATTTTATCTATTATTTTTAAAAGTACTTTAACATCAGAATAATAACATGAAATTCTATTAACTGTTAGAAGAAATAGGAATAGGAAATATCTCTACAAAGTTGTGAAGTAAAATACAAAATCATTATTTAAAATTCTTAACAAATATCTCAATTAATACTTTATTAAATACTACATATATTGTGAATTTTAAAAAAATACACAAAATATTAACCATATGGGAGCATTTTCAGTAAAAATCACATTATAGATCATATGATTTACTATGCCTCATGATTTGATTTTACTGAAAATGTTCCTATATGATATGCAATCATCTTCCTGTTTCTGATAATAAATTTTTGATCTCATATGCTACAGATATCATAAACTTAATATCATATGACCTATCTTATTCAAATTGTATATTTAAATCTAAAACAAACCTCTCTTTATGCACGTGTTATATATTTCAATAACTCTCTTATTGATCAAGACATATACAATGGTATAATTGGATTAATAACTGATATAAGCCTATAAATTGATCTATTTGCATCACTTTTTCTATCCATAACTCAATAATTGATGTGAAAATTTATAAAAATACTTATTATTTTCAAATTAATAGAACTAATTGTCATCACATTCAATTTTCCTTATAAAATTCATTTGCATTTCCTATATACAAAATATATAAAGCCCAAGACTTGACTTTATTAAAGGTTTGCTTTACTTTGAATGGAAATATTTTTTTCACCTACATTGCTCTTAGCAGATTTCCTAATTTGAATAACATTAAGATCTCTTATCTTGATGCATCAGCATTATGACTGATCAAAATGTCATTTCTGAATATCAAAGGTTACTTAATATTGTTATAACAAATCCTCTTCTATTTGCATGATTTTTTTATTATTAATGTTATTAATTATCTCATTTATTTATTATTATTTATCTATAAATCATCTATATCACTTATTAAATGCAATAAAAATCTATTATTTTTTATTTAATAATTATTTAAAAATAAATGATCTCAAGTGATTTATTTATGAAATATAATATTCTAAAAACCTTCAATCATACTCAGATATATTTTTTTTTAATAAAAATAATAGACTAATACATTAATTAATTCTTATTTTTCATTTTAGAATTATTTAACTTTCTATAAAAATATCCTAATTGATCTTTAAAAATCATCCATTCTATTTTCGAGATAATCATTTCATAAAATTCATGGTATATCATACATATATCATATCTAATATAGCTTATCAAATCATCAACTAATATAGCTTGCGATCGACATGTACTACATGTACTACAATCTTAAACCAAATCCGATGAATTACATTTACATTCCCTTTGTTCTCTGAAAAAAAAATTTTTTTTTTTTTTGTATATTCATCGTTTTCTATTTTTCCAAATATATTTCTTCGAAAAATGTCAATGCGAAAACCGTTTAAAAAAAGGGCAGTATCGAATTTAATTATTCATCACTTTATTAGTGATTTCATTTTACAATAACTTTTTTCCGTTCCTTTTTTGTCGATATAGTTTGTACTCCTTATAGTTGATTGATTATAATCAAAAATATCGTTAAAAAAAGGTTAATACTTGTTATTCATAACCATAATAAGATTTATTTTTCTTTAAAGAAGAATATAATAAAAAGAAGGTAAGGTTTTTATTAAAAAAAAAACCAAGCTCATCTAATACCATGACAACCATTACAACATTGACCACAACCAAAACCACAACTACAATGACTACCGTAGCTAAGGGAAAAAATTTTGAAAACGATATCTTAAAAGTTCTTGAGGAGAATGGAATGGAATTTTATGGAGTAAAGTGAGTATTCACTGAGTTATTTGTTGAATCGTCATGTATCTGAAGTTACGCTGTCACTAGGAGTAAATCGGAGAATTGAAAGCTCTTCGTGGCCACAATTTTTTTATAAATTGTGAACGTTCTTCTCCGTTTCTGAAAGGCTAATAGTAGGATGTAGTTCCGGAACCTGTGATGAATAGGATACATTGGATTAAGAATTGAAAGCGCATCGTGGCCACAGTTTTTACGCTGTGAACGTTCTTCTTAATTGTTGATGATTATGACACAAAAACACTCAATTTTTTATCTTTTCTTTTATAGAAATAAACCAGGGGACGGTGGTATCGATATATTTGGGGGACTTGGAGGAAATACCATCGTGATTCAATGTAAGGCTTATAAAAAGAAAATAGGTAATGGTATTTAAAAAGTTGAGATCAATATAATCAAATGATTTATGATTTAACTGTTATCAAATAATTATAGGCGTAAAATTTGTACGTGAATTAGAAGGTGTATTAACTAGATACCATAAAGATACGATTGGTGTTCTAGTTGCCCCTTCAAAGAATAAATTTACTACAAGATCAGAAGAAAGAGCTGAAACATCTGGATATAATATCATCTTAACGGATAAAACAAATATATGTTCGGATTTGATTAAATTTATTGATTCTCAGAAAGTTGTCGAGATTCAACAGGTCAAAAGTTCTTATAATTATTATTATTATTCATTTGTAATAATTTTTTCGTTATTATTGTATATTATTCTTTTTAAATAAATATTGTATATATTTTAATCTTTTTTATTAATTTAAAAAATTGAGGTTGTTGAGAATTAATCTGTTTGAATTCTTATAAAAAAAAAAAATTAATCATAATTAGAGACGCAAATTTCAATTGTGATGTTTTTATTATGCCAATTTACCGTGTACCCTCCCTAAATGCCTCCCTTGGGACCATAGTGAAGTTGCATTTAAAGAGGGTGGTTTATAGAGAAATTAATATGATCTTTATATACTTGGGGCTGTGCATTTTTAGAGAAATATATAATGCGTGCATTTAGTGAGGGTGCATTTAGACCGAGAGCGCAATGCCCAAAAGTCAAGGTTTTTATTATTGAGAAGTGCATTAATTGAACAAGGATTAGTATTATTTAATATCATAAATTCATATTTTATATTATAAATAAACACGAAGCACTTTTTCTTTTTTTTTTTAAAAAAAAAAGGTATCGGAAGATACGATTTTATTTACAAAAAACTTTGATGTATTTATAAGCAGTTTAAATTTAAGAGGTAAAAACCCATTCGTATAAACTAAAAAAATTTGAAATGTATGCAATAAAAAAAAATAAAAATATATTCTAAATTTTATACAAATTGGTGAAATTTCCTCTGTTATTGAATTATATTGAATTGAAAAAAAAAAGAGAAGAGATTTTGAAAGAAAGGAAAAAAAAAAGTTGATAAAAATAATGGTATAAAAAAAAATTAAAATAAAAAGGAAAGATTTCAATCTTCAAATGATGAAAAGGAGCAAGAATGACTTTCAAAGAACCAAAAGAATAAAAAGAACGAACGCCTTTATGTCCTCTTTATCAATCTTTCGTGAGCTTCAGCTAATTGTTGTTCCAACATTTTGACTCTAGCGTCCTTCTCAGCGTTTTTATCTTCCAAGCCTTTCTTTTCGCTCTCCAACACAGCGATACGAGTTTGAAGTTCATTATTTTCGATCTTGAATTCAGCCACCTGTTTTTCAAGCGATTCCATTTTCATCACCTTTCGAAGTCGACTTCTACGAGCAGCATCGGTATTCTTTGCACGTTTCATGGCTAAATCATCGACAAGGTGTGGTGAATTATTCTCAACTTCACAAATGGACCTTTTTCGTCCACGAGTGGAATTTTGATTGTTTATTAAAGGAGTTGAAGACGCAGAAGTCGATGACATGATAGATGGACTTGCGATGATAGATGAAGACTTTGGGGAAACATTAGCATTCGAAATAGTTGATAAAAGAGAAGGTGACTCAGATGATGAGCTTTGAAGAATGTTTGGGGAGGTCATGTCAGAAGACCAAGGAATGTTGAGAGAAGAAGAAAGACCAGAACCACCCGAAATAGTAGTTAAAGGTGAAGAATCATCAACAGGAATTGTTACGGAAGGCGTGATGGAAAGCTGACGCAAAAGAGATCTCGTTGGAGAAACGGCGACATTAGGATTTGTAAGGTCGGGGAAGAAACCAAAAGCGGGTTCAAGAGATGGACTTGCGGAGAAAGAAGCAGGGATTGAACTGAAAAGAGGGGAGTCATCCAATTCATGAGAATTGTCAAGTATAAGGGAAGGGGTGGTCATAGAAGATTCCAATAAAGGAGAAACGTCATAATTCGGACCCTCTGCAGGGAAAATAAAGTCTTCCTTAAGGTAACTCGAAAGATCACTTGTGAACCATTCGTCAAATTCGTATGCATCGGGTTTTGTTTGAGGAGACCCTGTAAAATACTCCAAGTATGGATTGAAATCTTGAGACATGATGTTAACCTTACCGTTATTATATTTGGAGTCAGTGGAAGGTTGCATGATTTGATCCGTTTCGGATATTATTATTTTGTTCGAAATTTTAGGTGTAGATTCCATATTTGATTTTGTTCGTAGGGATTAATATTAGAATGTTTTTCTATTATAAAGATTATTTTAACCTTAACCTCCTAAAAGTGATAGTCAAAGAAAAGAAATTGTATGTGATTTATAATTGTTTTTTTTTTTTTTTTAAAGAAAATAAAGTTTGGAGGGTAAGATAAGATCAACGAAAAGGTATTGTATTTCGGATATGATACTGTTGATGAAAGAACACATTTTGATTTGAGAGATTGTTATAAAGAGCAGCCATGTTGCGGCAAGCTAAAAAAAAATTTGCTGAAATGTAAAGAAAAACCAAAACTATATATTGTACTAAATCAAAGCGAGTAAGCTTTGAGGGAATGATTTAACAGGTGAAGAAAGCCATTTTGACAGATAAAAAAAAGTTTTTAACAAAATAAAAATTATACAACAAATAAAATAAAATAATTAAATAAGGTCTGGTTGTAAAGCAGGAAACCCGACAGCTTTCTTTAAGAATATTTCCGTTTTGAATAAAGTATATATTAAAAATAATATATATATATATATATTTTTTTTTTTTTTTTTTTTTTTTTTTTTTTTTTAATCTCGTCTTTTTTTTCTTTTTGCCAAATAGGTGAGTGGGGAAAAAATTTTTTTTTTTTGTTTCAAAAGAATTGGTTTTGGGGGGATTCGGTCGAATCGACAGCAATTATATTAGGATTATTAGCCAATTAAATGACATAAATGAAATGATGGTAGTTCGGTGGTTACCCTTTTTGTTACAGGGATCACAAATTCTATTTAGATGCAAAAAGCAATTGTTGAACACAAGGCGGTGCTGTTTATCAAAGAATCACTTAAATAGAGTTTTGTGTAATAATAGAAAGTTCTGTCAAAAAAAAAAAAAGGGAAAAGAAAGAAATAAGGTATTTAAGGAAGTGTTACATGATGAGATCAAATAATGGGGTCTTCAAAGAAACAATTCTTTGAAATTCTCGGAGGAAAATTTTACTGCAAGTGGCGCAAAAGATTGAATCGGCTAACAGGATCCGAAGGGTGACCATTTTACAAATAAGGATGTTTTAGTGGAACACGTTTCATCTATACTCACAAGGGAAATAATATTATAAATATATATTATGAAGACCGCAGTTTTGATACGCAGCACCGGAAATCTTCACATGTAACAACCGTTTTGCACCGCCTATAACGCCTTTTTTTAGATTTTACCGCGCAATTTGTCACTTATGCTATTCTGCACGTGGACGTTTTTATACAACAGATTTCTATCACTAAAACGTTTATTTATTAAATATTTATATATTAATCGAGGTTTAATATTGATCATGGAACATTTTTTATTTTATTTTTTTTTTAAAAAAAAAATTATATCTAAATCAGTTTTAAAAATAAAATTTTTGGTTGTCGAATCAATTTTCAATTAATCGTGCCGGTTTGGTTACATTCCTTTTGGATTTCCTAGTAGAACGTGATCGTCTACCAAAATCTTGAGTCCAATATTTTCCCCCACCAAATCCAACTCCCAAATTGGTGAATGCTTTATTAAGAATGTTTGCCCGATGTCCGCTGGATTTCATCCAACTTTTGAAAAAAAAAAATTTAATTAGTTCGATTAGAATTAAGAATTATAAAAATGAATCTTAAATCTTCATAATAAAATCAATAAAATCCTTACACATCCATGACACGCACTTCCTCATTTGTACCAAATCCTTTGGCAATATTTTCACCAACGTTACTAAACTTGTACCCTGCATCTTGAATACGTTTACCTAACGAGCCGGCAGGGTTATCATGAGTAAGGTTATCGGTACTAACCATGAAATCGGTTTGCTTTTGAGCAGCTTTCGTCAATTTACTATAAACAATTGCGTCGTTAATAAGTTTTCTTTAATAATAGCATGTAAAATAAAGATTCACCTGTCTAAAGTGAGTTCAGGAACTCCCGCCTTTTTACGTTCATTGTTAACAAGTTTAAGCATAAGTTGAGGATCAAAGGCATCGACTATGGTGACCAGTGCCGCAGTGGCGATAATGAGTAAAGTACAAAGAAATTTGATCGCTACCATTTTGTGTATGAGATTTTTTTTAATTCGATATTAATGTAAAATAAAGTATTGCAGCTCTCAAAGCTAGCTCAAGGAAGTTAGATTTAAAGGGTTGGTTGTGGTAAAAAAAAAAATATGACGATTGAAAGCGAAAAAGAGTGTAATACAAGTTCGTCTCTCAAAGACAAAAAAAAAAGGGTTGGAGAAAATATTTGGATTCGAACGTTGAGAAATTATTTTTCGAGAAAAATTTCGAAACCTATTATATATAATAAATAATAAATTAATAATAATAAGTTATGATTATATGTGTAATTTTTAAATTCACTTTGTTATCTAATTTGGTAAACATACGTTTTTAGATATATTAAATACATCCTTTTTCTTTGGTATAATTAGCAATTTCTCATATAGGAATACAATGCATGCGAAACATGGATATTACGGCCGCTTTTTTTTTTTAAAAAAAAAAAACTAGGCGTAAACTCCGTTTTAAATTTGAACCATATGTTTTTTTAGTTCCCATATTTTAATATCAAGTAACAAGAAAGAATGTGCTTCTAGTAAATTATTGATAGTAATAATTTTGGGAAATAAGATTGGTCTTTTAAGTGCGTTTCAAAAAATGATTAATTAAAATTTTCCTTAAAAATTGATGATGATATTTCTAGACGATCAACGTTTCGAGTTTGAACAGGTCAATCATCCTGTTTTATCAACTCACTCTTATTATGTGTTTTGGTTTTTTTTATGAGATTTTTACTATGAACCAATTCGTTTTTCGTTTGCTTAATTCTGTCGAGTAAAATGTTCCCATCAATAATTTTTTTAAAAATTTACTAGGTTTATTCATAAAAATTGGGGCGTGATCAATATGTAAGGTGACGCCAAATGGCGTCTGCGTTAAAATCGAAACTGTGATTAATCATAACGCATGTCGGTCCATCTCAAAATCAATTAATTTAACTAAATAAGGATTGAAAGCTTGAAAATTAAAACCTTCTTAATAATAATTATTTATTATTTCTTGGTTACCTTCTAAATTAATATCCTTTATTTTTTAACCAAATTAGCTACTATGAGTCACTGATCTTTTTTCGTTGATCAATTTTAATTGGACAATCAACCACACGTTTTACAAATCCGGGAAACATGAAAAGTTATTTTGTATCACAAAAGTTATCAAGATGACGAAAAGTTTATTTGTTCTCGTGATATGTACTCTCGGAGACTTTCTCGGAATTAATGTTCAAAAATAATCTAGCTACGATTTTTTTTAACAGCTTAGTAAACGTTTTTCGGAAAATGATGTAATATTTAGATAATCTAAGTTGGAGATACAAGTTGTGATTGTACATATGTTGAAAGTCATGATCATTCTATATTTTTAGATATTGAGAAAGAGACATGAAAAATAGATTAATCGCTACTTTTTGAATTTACGTAAATGTAACTTTTAAACTTTTATCACTAAATAATGGATTTCTTCCTCCTATTTTAGGGTTAGAAAAATCCAACTTGTTTCTGATTAATTTTATTAAATATTATCTTTATAATCAATTTTTAATTAAAGTTACTTATTAAAATAAATTTAAATATTTTTAAAATTTTAGATATAAGACCTAGCAGGTCCTAAATTAAGTATATTTCTAATTTTAAAAGAATTTTTTATTTTAGATTAATAAAAAAATTTATTTATCATAATTATTAAAAAGATAAATTTATTATTAAAAAATTTAATTAACAATTTATAAAAAAAAATTATCTTTAAATTATTTAAGACCAATTAGAACTTTTTAAAACTTTACCAATCTTACCTATTATACAAAAAAAACAAAATAAGCATTTTTTTAATTTATTACATACACTAGAATATTTTAGTGATAAGCTTTCTTATTATAATAATAACAGTCAATGATCAAAATTATATGAACATTTTTAAATCGAAAAATTTATATAAATAAAATAAAGTGGAAATAGAACAAAAGGTAAAATATATTTATTTTATTTTTATTTATTGATTTTTACAAAAAAAATCTATTATCATTTGCAGTTAGGATTCCGCAATTCGATTTGATATTTGAATATTTGATTTGAAAATCAAATCAAATACAAATTCAAATTTATATT